GACAAGACAAGAGCTGCAGCACCAGCAGCAAAAACAAACAAACAGCAGCAGCAAACCGCAAACAAAAAAAAAAAGCATGCCGACCCTAGCAGCACAAGACACACAGCAGCAACCGCAGCAACAACCGCAGCAGCAGCAACAGCAACACAGCAGCAACAACAAAAGACAGACAGAAAGAACAACAAACACAATAAACAAAGAAACACAAACAACCATCAAACTCTCGCCGGCCTCCTCTAGCTTCTTCCTTCTCTCTCCCTCTTCAGCAGCAACTCGAGCAGCAATAATAATAAAATAAATAAATAAAAACAAACAAAACAACAAGCGGCTCCTGCTCCCACCAGAGATACACCGAGGATAACGCCTCTGCTGCTGCAGCAACTGCTGCTGCCCTTGATTGTTTGCTGCTGCTGCTTCTGCTGCAGCCTGTAGGAATTATATACTTCCTGCTGCAGATAAGAAACAAAGAGAAAAACCGAAAGAAAGAAAGGCAGCAGCAGCAGCGAAACTGCTGCTGCTGTTGCTGCTGCACCGCAGCAGCAATATAAAAAAACCTCAAAAAGAAAAAACCCCCTACAGCAAATCAAGAGCCAGCGGAGGAGAGCAGCAGCAGCAGCAGCAACCCCTGCTGCTGCTGCGCCTATAAGAGAAAAAAGAAGAAAAGCAGTAGTAAAGGTAAGAGAGCAGAGATACACCTCCTCATTCAATAATAATAATAATAATAAGACTCTCGCACCGAGCTGCCTATACACCCGAAACCTTCTCCTTGCTAACTTCTACTTAACTGCAAGCACGCAGCAAGAAGACCTCTTGATGCTGCTGCTGCTGCTGTTGCTGCTGCAGGTAGAGGAGGAGTAGTAGCTGCTCTAGAGATGCGTGCTGCAGCAACCGTTGCTGCTTGTTGCTGCTGCTGCTACCGGCCTTCTCGCTTGCCCTCGTATATATCGTAAGCTTTCCTCAGGTGTACGTACACTCCAGAGCTGCTGCTGCTGCTGCAGCTGCTGCAGCAAATAAAGCCCTAAGACCCAGCAGCAGTGGCTGAAACTTCTTCCTGTTATAACTGTGCATACACCGCGTGCTGCAGAACAACAAGAAGCAGCTGTAGCTGCCTATACACCTCGCTCGTGCTGCACCTGAATCAGAACCAGCTGCCTATACACCTCGGCCGTCTTCCTGCTTTAAGTGTTTATACACCTGGTGCTGCGCCTTAACCTTTACGAGCATCAGCTGCCTATACACCTCAATGCTGCTCCGCTACAAGCACCCGCTGTAGCTGCCTATACACCTCGTGCTGCTCCTTGCCAGTCCTTGCTGCAGACAGCCATAGTACGTTGCTGTTGCTGCTGCTTCTCAGCTGTACATACACCTCGGAACTCATCATCATCAATACACCTCCTTCCTACTCTCTCTCTCTCTCTCTTGCTGCTGCTGCTGCTGCTTCAGCTGCTCCTCCTTCTCGTGCTGTACTACCGTAACCATAATGCCTGGGGCCGTAGCACGTAGCATGTCGTTGCCTTAGGTGCGCATGCAGACCGCAGCAAACTGCTGCTGCTGCTGCTGCAGCAGCAGCACAGTACCTCGGCAGACCAACCTCCACGTACAGAAGAGAGACCGTATGCGGGTGTCATTGCGATAGAGAAGCGGAACGTAGCTCAGGCGTACTTGCTGCTGCTGCTGCCGTTGCTGCTGCTGCTGCTGATGCAGTCAGACAGCTGTTGCGCAGAGCCGTTGCGAAGTGCTGCCGCTGCCTGCTGCAGCAGGTTCCTACAGCAAAACATCATAGGTGAGAAGAACCCACAAAGCAGAACAGAAGCAGAAAACAACAGAGGAAGAAACACCTTTTGCTGCTGCTGCTGTCGCTGCTGCTGCTGCTGCCTCTAGGTACGGTCTGCAGCAAACAACTGGAAGCAAGAAAGTATAGTAGAGTGAAGGTGCTGCTAGAGATATAAAGACTATAAATATGTAAGGAGAGAGGTAGGATTGTGCTTCTTCTTGTCTGTTGTTTGCTGCTTGGCGTTGCTGCCGTTGCTGCTCCTGCTGCTACAGCTGCACGGAGCGGTCATACACCCCTTCCTCATCTTTGCTGCTTCTCTCTTTACATAAATCTTTTTATTTAACTTCTTTTAAATAAATATAAAACAAAACTCTTCTGTCGAGCGGCTCTACCTTGCTGCAGTCTGCTGGCTCAGCTGCTGCGGGAGTGCGCACGGGGGCGGCGCTGCAGCAGCAGCAGCAACAGCAACAGCAACAGCGGTAGCAGCAGCAGCAGCAGCAGCAGCAGCGCCCGGACAAGTGCAGGTGAGCCATAAAGCATCTTTTTATAATTCTTGAAAGAATTTCTGTTCAAAAATAATTTAATTTTTTACTTTTATTTATTATTCACCCTTTATTTAGCCTGTCAGTGAGGGTTTTAGCTGCCTATACACCCGAGCACATCTCTACGGACAGACCTGCCGCCTACGCCTTCAGCGCCGCACCCTCAAACAAAAATACAACTTAAAAAGAAATAAACAATATTAATAAAATAAAACTAATAATTTAAATTTATTCTAAATCTATTTGCTGCTGCTTCTTCAGCACCAAATGCAAATAAGCAGCACGCCGCAGCGCTCCGCTGGACAGCCTAGGGTTTAGGGTTTTAAAGCTCAAGCATCTATTGGTCTCCCACTGCTATGTGACGCTGCAGAGATTTTGCTGCAGCTGCACACACTGCATTAGCAGCAGCAACAGCTGCAGCAACAGCTGTTGCTGCTGCTGTTAATAGTAAGCGCTATACACCGCTCTCCCAATGTAGATCTGATACACCGCAGTGACTCAGCAGCAAATTGCTGCTTGTTGCTACTGCTTGATGCTGCTTCATGCTTCGTGCTGCTACTTGCTGCAGTTGCTGCTGCCGTTGCTGCAGCAGAAGCAGCAATTTAGGTGTGTCAGTGGTCTCCTAGCGGATGCCTCGCAACCTGCTGCTGCTATTAAAAACAACACTGCAACCGCAGCTCCAAAGCCAAAGTGCTGCTGCTTCCAGCCGCAGCAATCTACTGCCTGTTGCAGCAGCAGCAGCAGCAGCAGCCCTCGCTGCAGCGGCGCTTGCTGCACCGTTCTTTAGTACACCTGGGCCCCTTGATAGGTCAACTAGGATGGCGTTGCATTCAGCTAGCTAAAAATTCTGCTGCAGCTGTTGCGGATCTCTGCAGCTAGCCGTGGCTAGCTGTAGCTAGATATAACTAGCGGTAGCTAGCAGCAGCTAGCGGTAGCCAGCGGCAGCTAGCGGTAGCCAGCTGTAGCTAGCCGCAGCTAGCTGTAGCCAGCTGTAGCTAGCCGAGGCTGGCAGTAACTAGCTGTTGCTATCCGCGGCTAGTTGCAGCTAGCTCGAGCCAGCAGTAGCTAGCTGTAGCTAGTAGTGGGTGGCTGTAGCTAGCAGTAGCCAACTGTAGCTAGCTGCAGCTAGCTGTAGCTATCTCTAGCTGGTTGTGCCGACCTGCGACTAGCTGCACCTATCTGTAGCTAGCTGTAGCACTCTATGACTAGCCGTAGGTAGCTGTAGCTTGCTGCAGCTATCATTGACTAGCTGCCGTGGAAATGTAGCTAGCTGTAGCTATCTTCTGTGCATAGTTGCTGCTGCTGCTGCTGCTGCTGCTGCATATGTTGCTCTAGCTCAGCCTTTTCCTTCTTACTTTTGTGTCTTTGTTATTATATATACTCAAAAATAATTTTGAGGCCCATCAAACAAACAAAAAACAAATACACCGCCGGCAGCTGCTGCAGCAACGACAGCTGCAGCAGCAACGACAGCTGCAGCAGCACCAGCTAGACCTGCAATACTTGCAGCAACAACAGCTGGAGACGCGAGAGCTGCTGCAGCTCTTGCTGCAGCTGCTGCAGCGGCTCTGCCTCAGCTCTTGCTGCAGCAAGAGCTGCAAAAACGCCAGCTGCTGCAGCACCAGCTACAGCAGCAGCAAGAGCTGCAGCAACAGCAGCAACGAGATTTGCTGCTGCATGTCGGGTTTAATAATAATTGTTAGGTCTGAAAGTTTTTGCAATAAGTTCGGCGACCTGCAGCGACGAAGAAAACACCAAAAAGAAAATAAAAAAATAAATAAATAAAATTAAAGCAAACTGCAGATAATTTATCAAATAGGTGAAGTATATCTATGAAAATATTAAATAATATTGTTTATACAATATATATTTTATATATATTTATATATTTATTTATATTTATATATATTATGAATGCCAAATAGCTGCATTACATCTAATAAGATCCAATATAAACAATATCATATATCTAATAAATAAATCTATATAGATATATATAATTATCTATATAATAATATATATAATCATACATATAATTATATATATATAATTATATATAAATATATAATTATAGAAATATAATTATATATATAATTATATATATATAATTATATAATTAAGAAATGAAGGGAATCGAACCCGTGCGAGGCGGCGGCCCTCAGGTGGAGAAATCGACGAAAATTTGGATTTTGGATTTCGCAGTAAAATCAGCAGCTCAGACGGCACTCCTTCAGCAGAGTCTCTGCAGAAATATAAATAAATAAATAAATAAATTTATTAATTAAATTGCTCAAATAATAAATTAATATATATAATAGATATGTATGGAGATGCGTATTATACTCTATAAAAAATCATATATATATATATATATATATATGCATCTATATATATATGCATGTATATATACATGTAAATAAATAAACAGATAGATAAATAGATAAACAAATAAATAATATATATATATATATATATGCGCAAACACAGAAAGAGAAAGACAGAAAAAGAAACAGAGATAGAGATAAATGGATCAGACAGAAAGACAGGAGAAAGCCGAGAGATAAAAGAAAATAAACAAAAACAAAAAATAAATAAACAAAAAGAAAAATAAATAAACAAAAATAGATAAAATAAACAAAAACAAAAAATAAATAAACACAGAAAAAAAAAATAAACAAAAGGCCTCACCTGCTGCAGCAAATCTTCTGGCGGCATGCAGCAGCAAAGAGACACACCTCAGCATCAAACAGCAGCGGCTCGCTTGGCACCCCACAAACCCTGTAGCAGCAGCAAACAGCAGCAGCAGCAGCAAAAGAGACACGCCAAGTCGAAGGTAATGGACACCACAAGCACTAGAAACAGTCGCAGCAGCAATAGCAGCAGTAGCAGCAACTGCAGCAGCAGCAGTAGCAGCAGTAATACCAGCAGCAGCAACCTTTGCAGCAGCAGTAGCAGCCGCAGCAGTAGCATCATCAACCGTAGCAGCAGCAGCAGTAGCAGCCGTAGTCGCAGCAACAGCAGCCAGCAGCAGCAACGGAAGCAGCAGCAGCAGCAGCAGAAGTACGCACATGCGTTTAAGGAGTGTTAGCCATCCCTGCAGCAGCAGCGCCTTCGGAGGGAGAGAACAGCTATTAAAGGCAGCAGCATCTTCCCGCATGCAAACCTGCATATACACCCCAGCAGCAGCAGCAGCAGCAGCAACTGCAGCAACGGCAACTGCAGCAGCAGCAGCAATTGTACCATGCGGTACCGGAGCAGCAGCAGCAGCAACCGCAGCGGCAACCACAGTAGCAGCAGCACAAGCAGCAATAGCAGCGGCAGCAGCAACAGCAGCAGCAGCAGCAAAAGCAACAACAGCAACAGCAGCAGGAAGCTTCACCCAAACTCTCTCTGCCATTCGCAGGTAATCGGTTGCAGCAAATTCAGCCGGTGGTGTTGCTGCTGATGTTGCTGCTGTTGTCTCTGTTGCTGCAGCAGCTGCTGTCTCTGCTGCTGCTTCCCTTGCTGCAGTTGCTGCTGCAGGTGAGGCATCTGGCGTCTTTGCTTCTGTTGCTGTTGCTGTTGTTGCTGCTGCTGCTGCTTCAGACGTTAAGGTCTCGTCCGTTGCCTCGGCAGCAGCAGCTGCAACAGGAGCAGCAACGGGAGCAGCAGCAGCAGCAGCAGCAGCACGCGTCAGCAGCAACTCCAGCAGCAGCAAATGTGCTGCGAGAGGAAGAGCAACGCCGAGGCCCATGGCATCATCATAAAGCTGCGCAACACAACACAGCAAACCACCTTGCTGCTGCTGCTGCTGCTGCTGCTTGTGCTGCTGCTGCTACTGCTGCCTGTGCTGCTGCTGCTACAGTTGCTTGTGCTGCTGCTGCTTGTACTGCTGCTGCAGCTTATGCTGCTGATGCTGTTGTGATGGTGTTGCTGCCGCTACTTGCGGTAGCGGTGGTCGCTGTGCTTCTGCTGCTGCTGCTGCTGCTGCTGCACTCCCAGCAGGAGCAGCAGCAGCACCAGAAGCAGAAGTAACGGCAGCAGCGGCGAAAGCAGCAACATGAATCATTAGAGCAGCAGCAGGACAGCAGCAGCAGGATAGCAGCAGCAGGATAGTAGCAGCAGCAGCAGCTGCAGCATATCTCACCGCAATACATTTTTTTATGTCTGTTTTTTCAGCTGTCACTGCAGCACGGAGCAGCAGCAAATAACTGGATGGAGATATAGGCTGCCGCCTGCAGCAGCAGCAGCAGCACAAGTAGCAGCAGCAGCATCACCAGCAACAAGAGCAGCAGCAACAACAGCAGGAGCAGCAACAGAAGCAACCCCAGCAGCAGCAGCAGCAACACCAGAAGCAGCAGCAACAGCCCAATCAACGGCAGCAGCAATCCCAGCAGCACCCGAAGCAACGACAACAGCAGCAGAAGCAGCAGCAGCAGCAGCAGCAGCAGAAGCAGCAGCAGCAGACCAGTCCTGTCTGAGGTTGACGAAGAGCTTGTCTGCTGCTGCTGCATCTCCCTGCAGCAGCAAATCTTCAATAAGTGCAAACATCAGAGACAAAGACGGAGGTGAAGACAAAAAATATTTGCTGCTAAGCACAGCCTGCAGCAGCGCCAAACAACACACACTTAATATGCTGCTGCTGCTGCTGCTGCTGTTGTTGCAGCGGCAGCACAGTAGGCAGCAGCAGCAGCAGTAGCAGCAACAGCAAGACCAGCCTCACCAACGGCAGCTGCAGCAAGAGCAGCTGCACAAATAGCAGCAAGAACAGCTGCAGTAACGGCGCCAGCAGCAACAGCAGCTGCAGCAACAGCAACACCAGCAGCAACAGCAGCAGCAGCAGCAGGGAAGGCGGCGTACGGAGCAGGCTTCTTCATAACGGTTGCAGAGAGCAGCAGCAGCAACAAGTCGCGTGGCGATCTCCGATGTGCTGCTGCTGCAGCTGCTGCTGCTCCTGCTGCTGCTGCTGAGCCGCCCGAAGTTATTCAGCAGCTGCAGCATCAGCAGCAGCTGCTGCCAGTCTCCCTTAGTGCGCACAAAGCGCAGCAGCAAAAATAATGCCTCTGTAGTACTGAAATCTTCTGACCGCCGCACTGCAGGAACTGCTGCTGCTGCTGCTGCTGTTGTTGTTGTTGTTGCTGCTGCTGCTGGCGTCGGTGCTGCTGCATCAGGGGATCCGCCTGCTGCTAAAACTCGAGCAGCAGCTCGCGACCCTTGCTGCTGCTGCTTCTGTTGCTGCTGCTGCGGCAGTCGCCATTGCTGCTGCTGCTGCTGCTGCTGCTGCTGCTGTTTGTG